AAGATGTTGACTTTTGGTGAATACCACCCATAAAACAATCTTCTTTCTTAGATCAGGATAGATGATAAAATTTTCAGATTGTCCTTGAGTAAAGAAAGATCAACCTTTTAAAAGTTACTTCTGTGGGAGGTTTTATTTAGACGCATGTTGTTTAAGGATTAAAAGTAACGGAGATGCAAGTATAGCTATTTCATTAACAAGCACATGCAAACACATCTTAAAGTCATTTACCTCTAAATTAGGACATAAGATAATACAATAGAACCCTGCTAACTCGAACTCCACCGGGAGACAAAAACTGGTTCGAATTAGCAGGGGTTCTAGTTATCAGACTTGGTATTGATTTGGATTTATCCTGTTAATAATTAATAGGGAATCATGTTTATACCATTCTTGTACAATCAACAGTCACATATTTACATTTAGTTTGTATTAAGTGCTTCTTAGTTTGGGAAATTCAGCTGAATGTATTATGTTTTCATAAATGTTATCACGTTCGTATCCATCGTGATTAAAGGTTGAGACCAACATTTTACTTTAAGTTCGAGTTCTCAGCATAAATTTGAGTCAAGGGAAAGTAAAATTATTTTGACTTCACGGGGAATTCTAGTTAACCGAGTTTAAGCCAGCTTACAGTAAGTCACCGGAAAAATGAGGTAAAATCTAGGGAGATCGGGTCCTTTTCGAGTTAGCTGGGGGTTCGAGTTAATCGAGCGAGTTAACGGGGTTTTCCTATACCTTAATTGTCAGAGTTAAGTCCTGATCAACAGGTACAGAACTGGAAGGAACTTCAACGCGTATGTCTGGAAAGTCAGGTACTACACATGTAAATTGAGGAGCCAATGAAGTACGTCTTTTGAATGTGAAGGACTTTAGGCGCCAGATGGCAGCAAACGAGGAACATCGTGACGGGGTGCATGTAGCTTCAACAAGCTGACGCCAGTCAGAAACTTCTGGTTTTTCTACACATAAACGTTAAATTTTAGTTGAATATTTTGAGCTGTTTTCTTGATAGGTGCCAAAAAATTATTACAACTGTGTTACTTCTATAATGCAGAAAAAGGATGGACTAAAGAGTAAAAAATGATTGTGTAGTCTCATTTTCTGGCTGAAGTACTGTTGTAGGTGGTAAAAGACTGATGTTTCAGCAACCTTTGAGGAAACCATCATCAATTTCTCGCGAATATTTGCTTGTAAGTCGAACATATAAGTCTGATTCGTGAAAACTGATTGGTCAGTTTTGCTGCGGTGTCGTCGGCTTTAAGTCTTAGAGGGCGGAAGAATGAGAACAACCGGCGCGAAAACAAAACAATTCAATAATGGACGAAGGATACCAACAAACTAGTGTATGAGTTAACTTGCACTGAACCCTACAATCTCGATCACACATACAACATTCGACTTACAAACAACTCCACACTGGACTCTGACGATGAATTCTGCTCAGGTTAACGAAACGCTACAAACTGTCAACGAAATCAGCTCTTTTCAGGACTATATACCCTTACCCAGGTTTTCAGACTTCACAATCGATAATTATAAAGAGAAATTTTCAACTGAGTGTATAAAGTAATCCGGGATTGATTTGTTTTTGTTTTTCTTCGCTCTTTGATTGGTCCAGAAAACTCGCGCCACTCTCTCAACCAATCACAAGCAAAAATAAAACAAATCAAGACTTTGTCGCCAGCGTTTTCCCGCGCTTTATTAGGCAGTTTGTTCGGTTATACTTTGAGTTCTCATTGGCTCGTACAAGTATTTCCTTTCTTCTAATTGGCCGTCATTATTAGTTTGTACTTTGGTTTTGGGTTTGCGACACTTTCAAAAAGCTCCCTAACAATCATCATAAATGACATGTAACCTGTACCTGATGATTGCCAAGTCTCCAAATCCTTCCATTCGTTGTTATATGGATCCACCAATTGCTTGATAACCACTTCATAGCCCTTCAAATCAGTTGCACTGTGCAACAATGCCACAGTTACGTTTCCTTCATCATCTCCACTTAACTCTAGGTCTAGTGGACCATCATGTGACAATTCAATCACATTGCTTACCAAAAGTTCATCACTAGAAATGGGCGGACAGCGAAGTTTAAGAGGCAATACTGAACAAGTAAATAACAAAGGTTTTGGCACAGCTCCCTCATGAAATGTGAAGTAGGCGGCTGCTTCCGGTAGGTTCCATACACAACCTCTTTCTGTAACTTCACCCCTAAAAATAAGGTCGGCAATAACAGTTATGACAGGGTAATTTGGTATTATCAGATTGGCCACCTTAAAGAGTTGCAAAGTTGACGATTCGAGCGTTTGATTTCGTCAGAGCGAATAACGAAGGGCTACCGCTCGAAACGTTAGCTTTGCAGCTTTTTACGGTGGCCAATTTATGTTATTAAATCAGTTGATAATACCAAATTACCATGTTATACTCTCCCACCAACGCAGCACCAAAGTTTCTTTAGAAAATTATCCCCCTTTTTCAATAACAGTTATGTTTTAGAACATTTAAAAATATAACCAAAAAAACCGGGGGGAGTGATGAGACTTGTCCTCAAAGCTATCTCTGAAGAAACTTATAAGTTTCATCTATCCTGTCACTAATTTAGCAAAGCGTTGTTTCCTTTGTTTTTCGGTTTGGTATATGAATGACTTAAAAAAAAAGAAAAGGAAAGAAAAGAAACTTTGACCAGGCCCTGAGTTCTGACTAAGCTACCTCAAAACAGATACCTGTAATCAATCAATCTCATTTTCAACCATGTATTTATCCTTGCACCTGTGCAAAAGCTACATGAATTGGTGATAAAAATCTCTAAGTCTATGGAAGTTCATAGTGGCTCTTTTGAGAAGGGCAGCTCACAGTCCCCTTCACAGAGTTAAAATATGCTTTAAGTCCAATCAGAAAGAGGTCATCATCTCTCAGTATTAGATGGTAAAACCATTGCCACTCTTATCAATCAATCTCTTTGTGCAGAGTCCATTGGTTTTTCTTTGATACCAAATCTGCTCATTACTATCCACAGATTACTAAATATAAATTCTCCAAATTAACCAGTTGACTCTTGCAATATGTGCCACCTTACCAATGATAAATTGATGAGTTAGATATAGTAATCCTTACCTAAAAATGACAGATCTTGTGATCACTTCAACATCCAGCAATGGATCTTTTTTCAATTCTAAGTGTTCCACAGTATCTGGTTCCATCTTAACATTTACCAACTGGGACATCACTCCCTCCATGGGAACTAAATATTTTTAATAAAACAAGCATACAAACATAGTGAAACTCAAATTTTCTAACACCAGCTTGTATTTTCCCCTTGTAAAAAGTTTGTCTCAGCTAATCCAGACAAAGGGGCCAAATCTCTACAATTGTAAATTTACTTAAGTTTAACATGAGTAGTGTTGACAGTATGAGACATTGAAACTCCCTTTTCCTTCATTAAAAAATTCACTTAGTTAAGTATTCATTCTTAAACTTACCATCTTCTTCAATCAGCATTGATTCTCTCTCCCTTTGTTGCAGCCACTCTTTATGGTGGGTTGTTTCCTTAGTGGATGTTGATGGCAAAGTCATTGACTCTCCCTTATGTTTCTTGGCAGTGAACTCATGAACACCAGGTGATGACCTTTTAGCTGAAGATCGCCTTGACTTTAATCTGCTTTTAGATCTACCTGTAATTTGACCCCATAAAATGTTGTTGGAGAATATTGAACTAACCAGAATAACTCTTTCTAAGAGTAGAGTTCCTTGCCTTCAAATGAGAGAGGGATGTTGACCAGTTGTCATCCCCAGCATCCTGTTATAATTTCAAAATTCAAGGATAAAGCTAAAGCTAACTATTGATGCTGCATTATGTTTTGTTTAAAATCAACTCTGATTGAAAAATAATGTAAGAAATTACCACCATGCTAAAATCTCTACGCCTTCACTAAAAGACACAAAAGAATTGCTTTATATCATTGTGCAAAACAATTTGCATTTTTCTTCTCAATCCTACTTTGGAAAATTATTAAGTGTGATATGAAAACAAAGTCTGAGAATTGTTAAGGCTCATCTGCAAGAAATTATAGGACTAAACCAAGTTATCTCATAATATCCTGTAGAATAAGTCAGAACCACAACAAGCTAATTCTAAGCTAATAAGAGTCAAACTTAAAAACTCATATATGCAGAGAATACTAGCTGACAATTGATTGCTCTGTCCTTTGAACATCCAAAATTAACTAAAAAATAAAATTCAGGAGCTAACCTATTGTGCATCATAATGAACCTACTATTAGTAAATGGAGAAGGCAACAGTCATGTAAATTCAATCAATAATAAAATTATTAAACTTGTAACTTAATTTAAAAAAGAGAACTTGTACCTGACACCAACTCAAGCATCTTTTTCAAAAGTCTTCCAGAGGATTCCTCCATGTTGTATTTCTCCGAGTAGTTTTCACGGATAAGTTTCATCTCTTTAAGTCGTACTACCCTGGGTTTTTGTTGTATTGCTCTAATTTCCTTGGTCCAGTCTTTAGGATCATCAGAGTCAACTACACACTGAGGGCCTAAGGGAACTTCTTTTAGAACCTTCCCAAATCCTGAAGAACCTCTGACAAGCATTGGCAAACCAACAGATAGGGCTCCAAGTGCTGCTAATTCAAAACTTTCAGTCCAGAATGGCATTATGGCAAGATCTGCCTCACTGAATAAATTAGCAAATTCTGCTATTGTAAAGCTGTTATTAACGACAACATTAAAGAACAGTCGATTGTGTCTTATAAAACTATCAAATAACTTTCTTTCCATGGCATCTGTATTTACCTCTGAGGAGAATAAAATGTGTATGTGGGTTTCATCCTCCGATGCAGACATTGCTTCAGCAACAATTTCCCACCACTTAATTTCAAGTTTTCCACTGAGACCAAATAGTAAAACAACAAAAGGTGATGATTCTTTGACATCCACAATATCTAACTGTGGAACATCCCAAATCTCAGAGAAAATGCTTGGGGTGTAAATTAACACACTTTGATCTATATTCCTAGAATGAAAGTAGTGTTGATATGCATCTGCAAGCTTAGGCCCAATGGCTAAAATTTGATCAGCTATCTCACAGATTTCCACTTCTGCCTGATCCCATTTTTCACCCTCTGAAAGGTCTGTGATGTTCCTTCCAGGTTCCTCAAGAACCACTTGAATCCATTTACAATTATGCTGCTTTTTGATGATGTAAGGCACTTCTCTACCATCACTTGCACCATAAGCTAAAACACAATCCATGACATGTCCTTGGGGTAAATTAATCAGCCAGTCAATTGGATGAGTAACAGGAACCATTTTCTCTGCTTCAATAAGCTGAACATTGTAACCTGCAGCATTTCTCCTGTCTTCTTCACTGCATTGAGGAAGAAAGACACTAACTTCCACATGTGGATCTTTAGCTAACTCTATGGCGAGTCCTCTTATGATTATAGATAGGTTTAATAGAGATGGCCTCCATTCGGTACTCAACAGAGTGAGTCTAATTGGTTGTTGCTGAGTCTTTCCTTTGTCTTTAGTGATGTCAAAAAGCTAAAATGAAGGGAAGAAAACAAATTAGTTTACAACTTTTCTCCTACAATATGCAAGTGTAAGTTCAGGAACAGATGTTACCTCCTGGCCCAATGAGGACTGCATTGTCCTTTATGTAGGTTCCTCATCGGCAAATAATGAAGGCTGATTGTATGCACATGCCTTGCCTAAAATAAAATATATAGTACTTAAAAAAAACTGATGTTACTTCACTAGGGATACCAATATTGTGCCCACTCAATACATATTTGCAATAAGTGTCAACACAACCTGACTGAAGTATGGCTCAATATTATTCACATAAATTTGAACATTAGTCAAACCACTGATACATGAAGTACAGAAGAATGATCAATCAAAGCAGGGTTAAAGCAAAGGATAAATAAACCCTTTAACTCCCAGATCAAATTTTTAATTCTCCTTATTGTCAACCATACAATTCTTATGATGTTAGTTCAGAGAATTTAGTATCTCATCACTCATCTGGTTGATATTGTATTGATATTGTAAGAAGAAATTCTGTCTTGATCACTCATGGGAGTTAAAGGGTTTAAACAATGGTCCTGCATGCACATGCACTTTGTAAATATATGTTAATAAGTTAATAGGATGTGCCAATCACAGCTGTGGAATTCCAGCCAATTACAACTGAGCAGAACAGTTCATAAGGTAACACATACCCAGTCAACCTTATTGCCTGATAAAGATGCCCAGTACACCATCAAAACATAGCAAAAATCAAAAGACAAACAATTCTACTTCATAGACTTAGGATGTTTCCTTCTGGTCAGTTTGTATAACATGATTGGAATGCTACAGAACATTCTTGTAATCAGTTTGAAAAAACCCAACAAAAACCAACACAGAAAAAGTCTGTTGGCCTTCCCAGTTAAACTCCATGTGAGAAGTGGTTCCCTAAAAATATTTATTTTACTTGTAAATCCTTGGCCTTCTTTTATTGACTTTTTACCAGCACTTACCAAACTTCAGCAATTATTGTAATAAAATACAATGCAGTTTCCAAATACTCTTCTGCAAAATTTCTTAAAGTCTTATTCATCATTGGATTCCAGTGGCCTTCTCAATAACATCTCTAGACTTTGTTATACTAATTTATCATTTACTCCCACTCCTCAACATTGCATAATCTTAACTGATATAGGGTCCCCCACCTATCCTGTACGTCTTCTTTCTGCCACTCTCTAGGCTCCCAGCACATTTGAGGAAGTCTTACCCTCAGAATATTTATTTCACTTTGGAAATAATTATAATACATGTATGGGTTACTGCAGTTTTCATTGTCTTTGAAAATTTTATATGTGCATATTTTCATCATATTGCACTTGAAATCATGTCATTACCTACATGTATATTAATTCTTCTGTATCTATTAAACTTTGAAAAAGCAGTAGATCAGGTTTTTAAACTACATTAGGGTTCTTACCTTTCAATCACTTATTTAACAAACTTTTAATCATCATCTTCTTTCTACTTGTAGGAGACAGCTGACACATGGTTGCCTGTGGATGTTTATTGTGCCCTCTATAAACTTCTTTAAAAAGAAAACAATCTCAACATGACAAGAAAATTATTCTCAGTTCTTTAGTTAGTAAATCAATAAGAGCAGTTTCTTTTTCAAGCAACAAAAACAGTAAATAATAGACTCTTTTGACAAGGCTAGTCCAAAATTTAATGATAATATATATAAATATATATATATATATATATATATATATATATATATATATATATATATATATATATATATATATATATATATATATATATATGTTTTTTCAGAAACACTTTATCAGGCTGGAATCTTAAATTCTTAACTCTGATTGGCTAACTACATCCTTGTTCCTGGCCCAGCTTTTTAAAATATGGACAAAAGTGCCAAAGTTTCCCACCCATTCGTGGCAAAACAGAAAAACAGATTTCATGCATGGTAAATTAAATAACATTTACTTTATACAGTATATGTTAAAACAATAAATGTAAAATCTATGCCAGGGTACCTAAAAGTTTACATTTAACACTCTAGCTCATAAAAAGGGTAACAAAATTGTCCCTCAAGCAGAATCCTTTTAGAGTGAAATTATTTCCGTAAAGTAAAGTTCAAAATTAATTTGTAGCAAAGTAGGAAAAGATTTTCGTACAACCTCAAACTCTTCTAAAACAAAGCTGTAGTCATAAAGGTAATCTATCGGTTTGCCATTGTTTTGTTTATCCAAAAACTATGTGCATAATGAAGTATGAGGCTGCACACAAATCTTTCCTGCAGAAGCTCTGTAATTTGATCACCCATGTCTATACCCTGCTAGCAACAAACTGTTGATGAAACACCTGTGGACTATCCTAAATTGTTCTAAGTTTATGTCAACTGTTCCTGTTCGTGTAGATTTACAGGTTAAATAATGGTATCGGTTCCTTTTACCACTATTCACAAAGATCGTGTTCAACAGCATACTACACACGAGGGACAACGCAACAAGCTAGGATGCTTTGAATTTGTTTTTTTTCGTTGATCAGCATGAGAGCAATCAGCAAGCACAACAAAAATTTACAAACTCATGGATTATCTTGAGAAAACTTCGATCGCCTCTCATGCGTGACTTCCGGTTTACAGTTGCACTAAGTGCGGTAGCCGCGAGAGAAAGGTTGGTTTCACAGCATAATTCTCTATATTGGGCTCATAGTTTTCCTTTGTTAAAAATACCTTTTTAGAAAAAATGGATCCATCTTCGTTCGACCGTCATGAATTCTAGATGCATTAAGATTGAGCTTAACATTGAAACAAGCTTGATCGTGCAACGTTAAGTCGTTGAGTATAAGATCTCAACGGTCGTTAACCGATCTTCATATTTAATAAACACTGAGAGCGGATCTTAGAAAATGTCAAATAATAAGCAAAGCTAACGTCTATATAAAATACAACTAAAACGGCAGATAAAATTTCAGCGATTCTTAGCGAGAAACATTGACTTCATTTCGCTGGGATTACAATTTCGTTCGAATTCCAGTCTTCGACTGGAGACTAACCTACCGCTGACAATATAACGTAATTTGTTCCAGTTTTGTTGTAAGAATTTCCGCTTACCACTGGTTGAGGAAAGTTCTGATTCTTTTCATCTTGTCTTGGCACCTCGAGGATATTTTGAGCGGGAAAGAAGACGCGTGCATAAATCTGCAAACTTGATTCCCATCCACGCACATCGTGGAGCAAGGCCTGAAAACAAGGACTCAGGTACGCTACACATGCGATATCACGCGTGTAGCTAGATGTCCCCCGCAGCCCCGTGAGGTTGCGTGCGTGTGGACCTCTGCAACAGGAGCTTCTAAGCGCCGAGGATGTTCGCATTCTCTTATTCTCGATGGTCAAAGCCGGTTTTACATTTCCAAACCGGAATAATAGATAGCATAAGATTTTAAAGACTATAGTAGAGCGGTAAATAATAAATTTTTGTCTCCATATTAGTCTGGTAGCTTGCATGCTAAAAGAGCCTGGTAACTAATTCCAGCGAGGGAAACGCCAGCTTAGAAATCGCTATAAATATCGAAATACACAAAAGTACTACGATTAAAAAAAATTAAAGAAATAAAACAGCTGGTATTTGAGAAATAAAAATAAGCTCGTCGTTCCATGTCGAAAAAACAACGCTCACTTTTGTACTTCAGGGTTTTTCTTTTGATAATAGTAGTAATTATAATAATGATAATAACAATAATAAATAAAGAACAAGCTGCTGTTTTGCGGTTTAGTAGACCAAGTCTGTCCTGGGCTCTCACAGTAGTGAAAATTGGAAGAAAACTAACTGCCCTCGGCAGGCTCACTCGAAGAAATTTCTTGGGATATCTAACAATTAGTTTACCCTCACGAATGCACGAGTTTCTGCTTGATGCTGAACAACAAAAACATTGCTTGCTGTGTGTTTCAATACGTTAAACGTATTTTATTACGGATAATTGTAATTTACAATTTACGACACTAGGTATCTAAGAACAATAATTTGACTTAACACCAAATCCATATTTTAAAAGGTGTGCAATATCACAAACTTTGTATTTATCTAGATCCATAAAAATAATCCTGTCCAACCTTCTATAGCTTTAACGGACAAAATTTATGATTTAACATGAATATAAAATAACTGCCATCCTTACCAAATACTTCTCTAACACTTTTTGGGAGGAATTCTCTATTAACACATTAATAACGGGGTGTAAAAATTACAATTTCTTGGTAATTTCGTAAATTACAACAATTCACCAGCAGAAATGTAATAATGACCTAAAAAAAAAGTCTTAAATAATTATATTTATCAACCTACAAGTTATTCATACGATATACCAGTTAACTTGTTTAGTACTACTGACGGTCTAAATCTACTGGTGCTCAGCATGAAAAAGAGACAAAAACGCCGTTCTAAAAAAATTAAAATTAAGTAGAAAATTTGGATCATGTGTACTATAGGTGGCCTTAGTCGACATATAGGCCGACAATCGACCGATATATTGGTCGACTATCGACCGACTATTGGTCGAAAGTCGACCGATATTCGACCGACAGTCGACTGATAGTCGACCAATGCATCACCCGATATGTACACATTTATCGGTCGACTGTCGGCCGATATATCGGTCGACTATTGGTCGACAATCGACCGACTGTCGGCCGATGCATCAGCCGATATGTGCACCAATTTTTATCGGTCGACTGTCGGCCGATATATCGGTCCACTGTCGGCCGATCTATCGGTCGACTATCGACCGATAGACGGTCGACTGTCGACCGATAGTCGACCTATAGTCGGTCGATAGTCGACCGATATATCGGCCGATATGTCGACCGAGGCCACCTATAGTACACATGATCCGAAAATTTGATAGTAACCTACCAACTAGACAATACCCCAAGAATAAAAAAAAATCGGCAAATCGCCCTTTCTGTTTCAGTCTGATCCTTTAAAAATAATCGCTACCTGTATGTTGAGCGATCAGTTTGAAATTCTAAAATTCTACTCTGAGATTCGACCACGAAACAATACTCTTGCTTACTGTATTTAGTTTGCTGTTACAAAACTCTGACTCTTAAGCAGCTGTTTTGTTTGTGAAAGAACTGTCATAAGTTTGGACGTACATTATAAACATTTCGACGAAAGTGACATGTGTAACTGAAAGAACAATAAAATAGAGCAAAGAAAGTACATACTAAACCGCTCACTCCCTCGTAAATCAGAGTTAAAAGACAAGAAAATATTTGTTATGTCAACTGTCAACCATAACAGTACTTTTCTGACAAGTCTTTACGTACTAAAAGGTCGTCTTTTAAGGCACCACTTAGAACTCTGTAGGTCGCAGAGGAACCTCTTTTCTGGGTCCAGTATTGAAGCATCTGGAAGGCTTTTTCAGAAAGAGTATTATATCGCGCATCGATTATTTCGAGTTGCTCTGATACTTTTAAGCGTCTTCCCAGAGTTTTCCACTTGTCACCAATATCTATACCCAATCCTTCTAACTCAGCCATCTTTGGTGTGCCCTGTTTAACTATAAAAAGACTATGAATCATTTGTCTGACAATCTAGCCCCAAAATTACTGGTAAACTCAAGCTCCAACGAGAACACTCCATACTCCTTTCCCATAATATAACGAATGAAATCAACCAGCTTTATGGCCTATCTACTCACGAGATCTCCGATTAGCTGGTCGTCAGAGCCAAGTTATCTCTCAGGGATAATATATAATCACACAAGCCAGTAAGTCACGATATTTTTACTTTCTTGATATTCAACAGAATAGCCATAATTTGATGAATTTTGTCCTTCCCGTACTTAATAGATGTTCTATTACTTACTCTTCTTTTTGCCGTGTTTTGGTTCACTAGCCTTCCCTTTTTTATTGCTAACTGTTGGTGCAGATGCGTCTGGATTTTAAATTCAAAAGTGTTAGAAAGAGTTGAGGTAGTAGACAATAATATAACATATAATTGTTGGATTACTTTGAGAGAAAAAAAATTAACAAACAAACCTAACACACTACTCTCAAAACCTTTCACTATTGTGAGTACAAACTGTACATGAAATGATGTTTTTTATTTAATAAAACTATATAAGGGAACCAGGAAAGTGGTCTTCTATGTAATTAAGCCAACAAGAATCAGCAAATGCACTCAAGAAATGCAGGTATATTATTGAAAAATACAGGTGCATTAGTCACCTCCTTTATCATTCTCCCAGTCACCGCTTGTTTTCAAAGCCTGAGGTCTTGCAGTTTTGGTGATTGTCTCTTGATGGGTGACTGTTATTATAAAGATTTGTGGAAAAAAAATAAATAAGTAAACAAATAAACAAACCCAATACACTAGTCTCAAAACCTTCAACTATCATAAGTAGAATCTATACATGTAATTATGTTTCTTATTCTACCAGACCGCCCAGACTGTGGATGTCTCTGAAGTAAAGCAAACAAGAATCTGCAAATGCACTCAAGAAATGCAGTTATATTATTGAAATATATATGTAAGTTAGTCACCTCCTGTATCATTCTTCCAGTCACTGCTCATTTCCAAACCTTGAGGTTTCGCAATTTTGGTGTGTGTTTCTTCACAGGTAACTGTAATTATAAAGATTTGTGGTAGTTAGGGCAAAACTAGTACAAGTGATTAAAAAGCTCTCGGATTTGTCTGTTTAAAAATAATGACAACTTCTCTCACAGCTTTTACAGAACACCAAACATAGCCAAAAGAAAGCCAAAGTCAATTACCCATACATCAGTTGTAAAACTTTGTCTCTAATATAATACAACATAAGTAAGTAAGCAAAACATGTCTGCTAAAGATTTTTCCTATATGCTGTTGATGACTTGTGATAATTGGTTCCTGTCTTAAAACTACCCCCTTGCCATTTGCATTTTTAGGAATCTGGAAGCAACAGAATTATATATATTAACAAGATCCTATACAAGGATTTAATCTGACTTGAAGCTAAACTATAAAATAATGCTTATTTTTATCAATAAGTTACCTTTCCCTGTATTATCCTTGCTACTCTTTTTTTTATTAGATTGAGTTCTTGGCTTTTTAGCAGGAATTTCCTCAGATGCACCTTAAAAAATAATTCAGCATAATTAAATAATGGCACACATTCAAATATAAAAACAGAATATCAAACTAGGTAAAAAAAGGAAAACACAAAAACCAAAACTACACAGAATTAAAGAAACTACTCCTCTCATTATCAATAATATTATCTCCTTATTTTTTTATGCTTGTTATTCAAATGTCATAACTCCAACAAACTTTTCCTTCAGGATGTGAAACAAGAAGCAGCATGTATGCATTTATAATTTGACTGTGCTAAGTCAGTTGGTGTTACTGCTTCATGAACCCACATGCAATGAATAAAGAAAATCACTCATCTAAAGATTTATTCCATTGAAGTATTACAACAGTATTTAAAAACAACAATTTTTAAAAAACGAACTAGCCTTTTCCAGGCACTTGGTCAGTGCAGGGGGAAAGTAAGCATGCAAATAGCAGCCTTAAGTGCTCTCTTTTTGTCTCCACTGACCATCTGAGCCTGGAACAAGCCATAAAGGAATATATAAAAAATTGTTACCTTTCTCATTCTTTTCCTTTTTATTTGTTGTATTGGAGGCTCTAGCAGTCTGCTTTTTGGTGGTGGTGTTCTTGGAAACTTGAATAGATAAGGTTTACAAGAAGTCAGTGCTTACAATATCTCACATGTTTAAAAAGAAAACTAACTTGATACAACTCATTGATGGTCTTGTAAGGCTCATTGTGTTTGAGAATAGTCCATTTCAGGGTTGTTTGAGGGTAAAAGCTAGGTTAGCTTTGTCACAAAAGACACAAGAAACCTGGTAAGGTTAGTACAACAAATTATTACTAAGAAAGGCACCCTCAACCACATTCTTGTTCATTGGCATCTAATTTTGTAAATACAAAATGGATCATTCAAAGTACTCTACAATTATATTAGAAGATAATTCTGAATTAAAATCTGGAAATTAGCACTATGCATTAACTACCCACAAATGCATGATAATCTTCTTATAGAGCCCTTGTGCCACAAGCAAGATAACTAACTTATGCCATTACAACTCATGTAAAACTTGCTTTTTGAAAGCTTTTGAGAGCATATCTTGGCATGAGAGACCAGGAAGCTATGCGTACATGTAGCACAAACATGCACTTAATTAGCCTTACACCAGTTTGTTCCCCTTCTATCTCAAGGCTAAATTTCCAAAGTGGTGAAGTTTTTATCTGCAGCTCTTGGAACTATTACAAATGATTCATGCTTTAGACTCCTCAATGTAACAAATGAAATCAACCAACTTTAGGGCCTAACTTCCCTTGAGATCTCATTAGATGGCCATCAAAACCAAGTTGTCTCTCAGGGATAATATTTAATTACACAAGCCAGTAAGTCATGGTATTTTTACTTCTTTATATTCAACAGAAAAGCCATAATTTGACAAATTTTGTTCACAAACTCTCAAGTTTTCCCTTCCCTTACTTGATGGATGTTCGGTTACTTACCCTTCTTTTGGCTTTGTTTTGGTTCACTAGCCTTCCCTTTTTTGACTGTTGGTGCAGGTGCAGATGCATCTGGATTTTAAATTCAGAAGTGTTAGAAGGAGCTGAGTTATTAGACAATAACATAACATTAAAACCTCTAAAGTTAATGGATTACTCAAGAAGACAAAAAAAATACACAAACAATACACTACTCTCAAAACCTTTAACTATTGTAAGTATAAAAAGTATACATGAAATTATTTTTTCAATCCAACAAAACTATGTAAAGGAACCTGAACAGTAGTCTTCTCTGGTGTAAAGCTCACAAGAATCTGCTAATGCACTCAAGAAATGCAGGTATGTTGTTGAAAAATATATATAATTTAGTCACCTCCTATATCATTTCCCCAGTCACTGCTTGTTTCCAAAACTTGACATTTTGCAGTTTTGGTGGGTGGTTCTTGAAAGAAAATTGTAATTATAGAGATTTGTGAAAAAAAAAAAAAATAAAATAAACAAACCTATAAACTATACACTATACATGGAATGATGTCTTTTATGCAACAAAACTATATAAGGAAACATTGACAGTGGTTGTCTCTAAAGTAAAGCAAAAAGGGATCTGCAAATGTGCTCAAAAAAGCTGGTATAATATTGATAAAATATATGCATATTTGCCACCTCCAATATCATTCCCCCAATCACTGCTTGTTTTCAAAGCTTGAGGTGTTGCAGTTTCGGTACGTGTTTCTTGACAGGTAACTGTGATTATAAAGATATGTGATTGTTTAGGTAAACCTAGTACATGTGATTAAAAAGCTCTTTGATAGGTCTGTTTGGAAAAATTAAATGACCAAACAAAGCTGAAAGAAAGCCTAAAGAGAGCCAAAGTCAATTACCTACGCATCACTTGTAAAACTTTGTCTCTAATATAATGCAACATTAAGTCAGCAAAACATGTCTGCTAAAGATTTCTCCTATATGCTGTTGATGACTTGTTGACAATTGGTTCCTGTCTTACAACCACCCCCCATTTGCTTTTTTTTAGGAAACTGGAAGCAACATAATTAAATATAAAACAAAATCCTGTACAGGGATTTAATCTGACTTGAAGCTACACTACACAATAATGCTTGATTCTATCAATAAGTTACCTTTCCCTGCATTATCCTTGCTACTCTTTCTTTTAATAGGTTGAGTTCTTGGTTTTTTAGTAGGAATTTCCTCAGATGCACCTTAAAAAATAGTCCAGCATAATTAAATAATGGCACACAGCTGAATATAAAAACAGAACATCAAACTAGGTGATATAAAAAAAGTACAAAAACTACACATAACTAAAGAAAGAAAATGCTCCTTTCATTATCAATAATATTATCTCTGTGTTTTTTTCAATGAGGTCTTCACACAAGAATGCCAGCATTGTGCTTGTTATTCAAATATCATACCTCCAACAAACTTTTCCTTCATGATGTAGGACAAAGCCAAGAACAGGCATGCATGCACTAATAATTTGACTATGTGCTATTTCTGAACTAATTAAGTCAGTTGGTGTTAAATCTTAAAACTGCAATTACTTCTTCATGAACCCACATGCAATGAATAAAGATAACAACTAATCAATTAAATAAATTTATTCCATTGAAGTATTACAGTATTTAAAAATATAATTTTTTAGAAAAGGAACTAGCCTGTTCTGTTACCTTTCTCATTCTTCCCCTTTTTATTTGTTGCATTGGAAGCTTTAGCAGTCTGCTTTTTGGTGGTGGTGTTCTTGGAAACTTGAATAGATAAGGTTCACAAGAGTTCAGTGCTTACAATATCTCACATACTTAAAAAAGAAAACTTACTTCAGCTGATACAACTCACTGATGGTCTCGTAAGACTCATTGCATTTGAAAATAGTGCATTTCAGGGTTGTTTGAGGGTAAAAGCTAAGGTAAGCTTTATCAGGAAAGAGACAAGAGACCTGACAAGGTTAGTAAAACAAATTATTACTAAGACAGGCACACTCAACCACATTCTTGTTAATTGGCATCTAATTGTGCAAATGCAGAATGGATCAATCAAAGTACTTCATAATTATATTAAAAGTTAACTCTGAAATAAAATTTGGAAAATAGCAATATGCATTAACTACCCATAAAAGCATGACAATCTTCTTATGAAGCCTTGTTACCACAGGCAAGATAACTAACCTATGCCATTGTACAACTCGTGTAAAACTTGCTTTTCAAAAGCTTTTGAGAGCATATATCAGAGCTCTAGCAGCATATCTTTGACATAGGTCCATGTGTGAGAGAGCAGGTAGCAATGTGTACATGTAGTACAAACATGCACTTAGCCTTACACCAGTTTGTTCCCCTTCTATCTCAAGGCTAAATTTTCAAAGTAGTGAACTTTCTATCTGCAGCTCTAAGGAACTATTACTGACTGTAACTCAGTTTTGATAACCAAATGATTCATGCTTTGGACTCCACAATATAACAAATAAAATCAACCAACTTTAAGGGCCTATCTTCTCATGAGATCTCATTAGCTGGCCATCAAAACCAAGTTGTCTTTCAGGGATAATATCCAATCACACAAGCCAGTATGTCAGAGTATATTTACTTTCTTGATATTTAATAGAATAGTTGTAGTTTGACAAATTTTGTTCGCAAACTCTCAAGTTTTCCCTTCCTTTACTTGATGGATGTTCAGTTACTTACCCTTCTTTTGGCTGTCTTTTGGTTGACTGGCCTTCCCTTTTTTGATTGTTGGTGCAGGTGCAGATGTATCTGGATTTTAAATTCCGAAGTGTTAGAAAGAGCTGAGTTAGTAGACAATAATATAACATTAAAACCTCTAAAGTTAGTGGATTACTCAGGGTGAATAACTCTCAGGGTGAATAATACTCTCAAAATCTTCAACTATTCTTGGCATAAAAAGTCTCCATGAATAATGTCTTTTATTCAACAAAACTATATAAGGGAACCCGGACGGTGGTCTTCTCTGTCAAAAAGCTAACAGGAATCTGCAACTGAACTCAAGAAATGCAGGTATATATATTGTTGAAAAATATATGTAACTTAGTCACCTCCTAGATCATTTCCAGCCCAGCTACTGGTTGTTTCCAAAACTTGAGGTTTTGCAGGTTGGGTAAGTGTTTCTTGAAAGGAAACTGTAATTAAAAAGATTTGTGGAAAAAAATTACAAACAAACCTAATACGCTACTCTCAAAACCTCAACTATCAGAAGTAGAAATTATACATGTAATGATGTTTTTATTCAAGAAAACTATATGAGGAAACGTGGACACTGGTTGTCTCTAAGGTAAAGCAGACAAAAATTACCAAACGCACTCAAGAAATACTGGTATATTATTGATGAGTATATGTTTATTAGTCACCTCCTGTATCATTCCCCCAGTCACTGCTTGTTTCCAAAACTTGAGGTTTTGCAGTTTTGGTGAGTGTCTTTTGAAAGGTAACTGTAATTGTAAAGATTTGTGTAAAAAATACTGTTAAAGAATTAAACAGGACGCATCAATTCTCTGCGACTCTGAGTTTTGTGCCTAAGGGCTTGTCAGACAGAACTTTATTCAATGAAGAACATTAGGAAGGTATGTTCTTCATTGAATAAAGTTCTGTCTGACAAGTGCTTAGGTGCGAAACTCAGAGTCACAGAGAATCGATGCATCCTCTTTAATTCTTTATTTTATATATACTTAGCTCTGCTACCACAGCATTGAGCACTTTATGCCAAGGTAGACTCTGACCCACATTTATACATACATATATATCTGCAGTTAGATATAGCTCTTTGGCATACAAAGCTTTGCTTTCATGTCCAAATTGAGCACTCTACTAGGATGAGTCATTGCTGCTAGCATTATGCATGCTCACTAGTTTTTCTAGTTTGAGCACTCTGGCATGGCTTAGATGATCCCACATGTGTGAGATCACTTGGGGTAGCTGTATGGCCTTACCTCCATCCTAGCATCAGCACTGCACTGATGAGGCCCAGAAGGCCGAAACAGTACTGTCTGCAGTTAGTTATATATATATATAGGATCCTATATACAAGGATTTTATCTGACTTAATTGAAGCTAAACTATAAAATAATGCTTATTTTTTTTATATTTAAAAAGTTACCTTTCCCTGTATTATCCTTACTACTCTTTCTTTTAATAGGTTGAATTCTTGGTTTTTTAGCAGGAATTTCCTCAGATGCACCTTAAAAAATAGTCCAGCATAATTAACTAATGGCACACAGCTGAATATAAAAACAGAAAATCAAACTAAGTGATAAAAAACTAAGCAAAAAAACTGCACATAACTAAAGAAAATGCTCCTCTCATTATCAATAATATTATCTCTGTGATTTTTTTAATGAGCTCTTCACACAAGAATGCCAACATTGTGCTTGTTATTCACATATCATAACTAAACAAACTTTTCCTTCATAATGTCAAAACAAATCCAAGACTAAGCATGCATGCACTATAATGATATAACTATATGCTATCACCAAACTAATTCAGTAGGTGTTCCATCTTAAAACTGTAATTGCTTACTTCTTCATGTACCCACATGCAATGAATAAAGAAGATAACTCATCTATTAACTTATTCTATTGAAGTATTACAGTATTTAAAAACTATAATTTTTTAAAAAAGGAACTAGCCTTTTCCAGGCTCTTGGTCAGTGCATGGGGAAAGTAAGCATGCAAATATTAGCCATCAGTGCTCTCTTTTTGTCTCCACTGACCATCTGAGCCTGGAACAAGCCATTAGTGATGTGTCAAAGGTTGTTACCTTTTTCATTCTTCTTCTTTTTATTTGTTGTGTTGGAAGCTTTAGCAGTCTGCTTTTTGGTGGTGGTGTTCTTGGAAACTTGAATAGATAAGGTTCACAAGAGTTCAGTGCTTACAATGTCTCACATACTTAAAAAAGAAAACTTACTTCAGTTGATACAACTCACTGATGGTCTTTTAAGGCTCATTGTGTTTGAGAATGGTCTATTTCACAGTTGTCTGAGTGTAAAAGCTAAGGTTACCTTTAACACAAAAGAGACAAGAGATGTGGCAGGGTTAATATGACAAATTATTACTAAGAAAGGCACTCAACCACATTCTTGTTATTTTAAAAGTACATTCAAAGTACTTTATAAATATATTGGAAGTTAATTCTGAAATAAATCTGGAAATTAGTACTCTGCATCAACTACCCACAAAAGCATGACAATCTTCTTATGAATCCCTTGTACCACAGGCAAGATAACCAACTTAAGCCATTGTACAATTCATGTAAAACTTGCTTTTTGAAAGCTTTTGAGAGCATATATTGGAGCTCTAAGAGCATATCTTTCACATGGGTCCTGGTGTGAGAGGGAGCAGGAAGCTATGTGTACATGTAACACAAACATGCATTTAGTGTTACACCAGTTTGTTCCTCTTCTATCTTAAGGCTAAATTTCCAAAATAGTTAATTTTTCATTTGCAGCTCTTCTTAGGAACTATTAGAGACTGTAACTCATTCTTGATAAACAAGTGATTCATCAAAACCAAGTTGTCTCTCAGGGATAATATCCAATCACACAAGCCAGTAAGTCATGATATTTTTACTTTCTTGATATTCAACAAAACAGCCATAATTTGACAAATTTTGTTCACAAACTCTCAAGTTTTCCCTTCCCTTACTGGATGGATGTTTGATTACTTACCCTTCTTTTGGCTGTGTTTTGGTTCACTAGCCTTCCCTTTTTTATTGTTGACTGTTGGTGTAGATGCATCTGGATTTTATATTCAGAAGTGTTAGAAAGAGCTGAGTTAGTAGACAATAATATAATAATAAAACCTCTAAAGTTAGTGGATTACTCAAGGGGAAGGAAAAAAATAAACAAATGAACAAACATAATACAC